CTTTTGAGAGCATTACATGCGATCAAATGAGACTTGCACTGAAGATCGTGGAACAATGGTGCGTAGCACACAACCTGACAGTGAACCCATCCAAAACAGAGATGATCATGTCCACAAACAAACGCAGCCTAGGAAATCTCAGACTTCCTAAGCTATTTGGAACACAACTTACTCTTACCAAAGAGGTCAAATACCTAGGAGTAATACTGGACAGTAAACTCCTGTGGAATATGCACCTCGATGAAAAACTGAATAAAGCCTGCATTATTTTCTGCCAATGCAAGCGGCTACTCGGCAAAAGCTGGGGACTATCACCCAAAATCACTTTATGGCTATACAGGACAGTCATAAGACCAATAATCACTTACGGTGCTGTTGTCTGGTGGCAGAGAACAGAGCTTAGCACCGTCATAAACAAACTGCAGCAATTCCAGCGACTTCCATGTTCCGCGGTCACTGGCTGTATGCGCACAACGCCTACTGCCGCACTGGAGGTGGCTCTTGGTCTGCCACCCCTGGATCTATTCATACAGCAGGAGGCCGCCATGGCGATCATTAGACTCAAATACCTGGGTCTATGGCACAAAAGTGAGGGATCGCACTCCAAATTATGGGATCAATTGGTGGAATACGAACCACTGATAGCTGCTCCATGCGATAGAATCCCAAAACACCATATCTTCACAAGAAGATACTACATCCAGATACATGGAAATGACCGAGATCAATCCGGCATTAACGAAGTCCGAATTTACACGGACGGTTCCAAGACTAGGTCAGGAACTGGAGCCGGAGTTTTCTCGCAAGACCTAAATATAAACATATCACTAGCGTTAGGCCAACACAGTTCCATATTTCAATGTGAATGTGTGGCAATAACTTACGCTGCCACAACGGCCATGTCAAGGGGTATCAAGGACTACAACATCCGAATAATATCCGACAGCATGGCCGTCTTAAAGGCACTGGAGGGCAACACAATGACCTCTGGTATTGTCTTCGAATGCCACCAAGCACTGGAACAGCTCGCTATATTCAATGGGGTACTCCTCCAATGGATTAAAGGGCACAGTAACTCACACGGGAACGATGCCGCAGATGAGTTGGCAAGGAGGGGCTCGGCAACCCCAACCTCTGGCCCAACGCCACTCCTGCCCATATCGTTTAACCAAATACGATGCTGGGTCAGGCAACGGACCTGTGAAGCACACAACCGGAGGTGGAAAAACTCACCCGGCTGCAGACAGTCCAAACTGGTGCTGAATCAAGTCACACCACGACTCACCTGCAGACTGATCAGTCTTAGCAGACCGGAACTCAGAATGGTTGTCGGAACTATTACAGGACATCTAGCCCTGAACCGACAACTATTCATAATCAATGCGACGGACAGTCCCCTGTGCAGGGGATGTCTGGAAGCTGAAGAAACGGCCGCCCACGTAGTCCTGGAATGCGAGGGAGTGGCCACACAACGGGCAAGTATCATTCCTGATATAAAGTCGCTCCTAGAAGCCTGTGAACGCCCCAGGAGGCTTCTGCGCTTCTGGAAGGAGCTTGGTTGGCTCACCTAGTCAACCAATCCTCGACGCATAAAGGACCACTCAGTCTAAATGCGGAAACCGAAGCCCACAACCAATACCAATACAATACCAATTATCTCGTAAATTATTATATGTACGACGCTGAAATTCTACAGGTAGACAACTGAACTAAACAACTAATTATTGGCATAACATTCAGTTTATATATCCACACACAGGTTTATCGGTGGCCAAAAAAGGCCGCACACATTGTGATCGTGAACGTGGAGAGCTACATTTCATCATAACTTTTTAGTCACTTACAGTATTCTTACGAAAATTCGTATACATTTGAAGGTAGTTACAAGCAATAGAATAACGTTTCAAGTAAGTCTTTAGAGGTCTTATTTAAAGTGTTAGGACGTATTGAAGTGTTTTCATACTTACCTAAATAATTTTTAAACGGTCCATTATTTTTGTTATTTTATTGTCGAACAAATTAAAACTAATCCTTAAGAAGTTATGTACAAAAGATGATTACAATCCGCTTACCCGTTTTAGAGATCCAGCAAACCCACAAACGTTACTCCAGCAGGATTTCGAATAACTTCGCAGCCGAAGAAAATACAAATACCAAATAAGTTGTAACATTTACCTAGTCGAGATAACTAATTATTTAGCTTAAATTTATTTCAATATTACAATTAAAAAAGAAAATGTCTGGCTGCGGTAACATTTCAAACGTTACCCCAGCAGGAAATGTTTTTTTGAAATAACTAAAAAAGTACATAAGTGAAACAAATTTAAAAATGTGCCTAACAATTACAGAAGGGGCAACTAATTATCTATAACGTTTAAATGACCATTTTCGACATTATTTTGCTGGGGTAACGCACACAATTGAGGGTTAATCTTTGGGTGTGGGCTACCGCCTACGGCCCAACGGCTCAAGGTTTCTCATTATCAAGGATAAAAAACGGTTCAATTAATTACCGAAAATTTTCGCGTAAAATGTTGCCAGTTGTTGTTGAAAAACACACAGGAACGCACTATCAAAACGTTATCAGATCTCATGTAGAGTCAAACTTCGAACTTCTACACGCCTTAACTCTACATACACCTTAGTCAAGTTATGTGGCTTGGACCTTTCGTTACTACACGAACTTTTGTATAGGTAACAGAAAAGTTTTTTTTTCATCATGCGACGCCCCAAACATGCGACAGTAGCGAACCGCCATTTTGACTAAGGTGTAGAGTTTGTTAAGTTAGGGCTTCTAGAGTACCTAAACATTTTTAGGAAGGAATAAAAAAGAAGGTAGGTAGGTATTTATACGATCGTATTTGGTGATAGGTGGGGAAGCCTCTGGCACCCACGGGATAGGGTTGGTCCCCTGATGTGTAGTGACCATGGTTTCCTCTCCCTACCCCTAAAGGAGCCCCGGAGCGCATCGCATCGCCACCTGTCGTCTCCCAGGCCCGGTGCTTATGAAGGCGATTAAGCCGCCTGGCCCGTTCCCGGGACTGGTGAGCCGGAAGAGGGTTCAAGTCCCTGCCGGCCCCACTTCGCCCGTAAAGCGTCACGACCTAGTTCTGGCCATCGTAGTGGCAGCACCCGGGCGTTGGCTCTTTGCGGATCAGACACCGATGACCTATAAAGCATCCTTTGCGTTAGCCAATATCAGAGGGTCCCGTGTTTCCTATCGAGCCAATCCTCCATAAAGCGTCGTACCGTCACAATAGCAGAGCGTGCCAGAATTAAGCCGCCCCATAATATCCCAAACGTAAACTTTCGTCCAGTTTCCGGCATTTTTGGAACCCCGCGTCCACATGATTATACATAGGTACTTACGTTTAATAAAGTAATTCGAAGCCTAATTAAATTAATTATATAAATTAATTAACATTTGCATATTTTATTTCGTACATCGATCAATAGATATTACTATGATGAGATAAAAGTAAGTCGTGTCAAACTATTTTACTGAATTTTGAAAAAAATTGTAGAGTAATAACATGTTTATGTGTATTTTAAGATCTTAGATATTCTGGATCTCATCTTACTTCAGCTGAAAAAACAAAACGTTATTGGGACAAACTAAAAACGATCCCTTAAGATATGAAACTCAAAGAAGGTAACAACGGATGGCGTACATACCTAGTGGTTTAAGCGGTCGCCACGCCGCTCACTACTACGTTGAGTGTGCGATCCACACATGGGACGACACTGTGTGATCCACAAATTGTTGTTCTGAGTCTGGGTGTTCTTTGTGTCAGTTTCATGTATGTTTGTAGTCCCCCGCGACACAGGTGTTTTCCCAATGTCGTCTTTTATTTAAAAAAAAACGAACGACTAAAGAAAAAATGTTAACACCTTCACATTTCTATTAAGTTACGATATTTACCTATAGATTAACTGTCCACTTTTTTGAACCTAATAATTGTTGATCTTAAGTTTAAATCAGTAAAAGTTACCAAAATTGTAGTTACGAGCTCTGTAGATTAGATAAGTATAATTGTAAAAAGGGGAAAATATATTTTAGACTAATAAACTGTAGAAAAGTAATGATAGATTGCCGAAATAGTCACGATTCGGACACAAAACCTATGATTGTTCCTATTCCATGTGGATATGTAATTAATAAGATATTTTTTTTTGTTTTTAACCTACCTACTTTATAATAAAAAAACGACGACATGCCTTGAATTTCATGGTTTCGTTATAAAATGCATTTAAAACTAGTGACGACGTGGAATAACCCTCCTTATCATGAAAACTTTTTGAGAAAATGCCCACCTGTTTTACCGGCATTGAAAATACCTACTAAGGGCATGGGTTCACCAGGCATCTTATGAAGAGATAAATCGTTGCAACAAAATGCCAGATAAGTTAATGACATACGTGTATAATGTTATCAGAAGATAACATTCTGTCTTAGGTGCCTACTAGTCGAAGTCGATACTTAAAAAGAGTCGAAAATTTACAAATAATAACCAAGTAGTATCTATTGTAAACGCATGTATTATTTTTTTATCATTTAATAGCCCTAAAAATGTACATTACAGATGCTGACATTCACGAACAGGTTAACATTAACACTACAAAAATCGATGACAATACTCACGCAAATATACGTTAGTCACTGGCTTAGTAAAAACGTATTGCCGCCGATTTTTGATATTAGATTGGATGTAACAACATGATGATAACAGTCTAAATTTATCAGGAATAGAGAAACTGCAGCATCAGCTGTGTCACGTACATTTTATTGAAGATTTATTTTATACTACATTATTAAATAAAGTGAATTCCTGATGACGCGCGCACTAGAAAGTGTAACACTTATACACTTATGCAGTCCCTGCATCACTATGAGGGTGAGGTTTCCACACATTCGATTCCATGGCCGTCCACTCCAGATATTAAACACTGAAACCTCATCATGTGGGATGGCAGTAGTAGTGTTCTTAAAAGTAAATTGCTTAGAAAGCAAAAAGCAACAGGAACGCCATCATAAGACAGAACAGTCCCATAGCCTCAGACAGGGCGAAGCCCAAAATGGCGTATGAGAACAGCTGTTGTTTCAGAGAGGGGTTCCTGGCGTAACCGATGATGAGGGAGCCGAACACTGTTCCGATACCGGCACCTGAAATGTCAAATAATAGTTTTAGTACATTATAACATAACTGCAACATGGTTTTAGGTTCTATAGGAATTACACGGGACAATCTCATGTAATGAAGGGAACTTTACATTTAATTGGAACTAGGAACATCTAAATATAACTACTATATACTAAAACTACTCAATGCTAACTACTATTGGTGAAATAGAATATCTAACCTGACGAGGGTGGTAATAATTGCATCTCGGCTCTACACTTGTTAGAATTAAAAATTTAAAAAAATTATGTAAATATTCATGTAAAATGTTAGATTGTCCTTCGCTCTTCATGTTATATCATAATTATACACTTTATATACATAGACCAATGTAGAAAATATCTATATCCAATATAAAGTATTCTAAAAGGCGAACAACATCAGGAAAGCAACCATCAAACAAAATAGGCCCATGGCTTCAGTTAATGCAAACCCTAGGATAGCATAGGAGAATATTTGCTGTTTCAATGAGGGGTTGCGTGCATAGCCAATGATTAAGCATCCAAACACGACACCAATACCAATACCTGTAGGTAACATAAAAAGTGCAGTTAAACATTGAAAGCGTTAATGAAGCAATGTTAGTAGGAGGTGCAAGCATTCATTCAGAAAATGTGGAATCTTATGTGTTATAAGCAGTGTTGCATTAAAAATATACGCTGGGTGAAAAATATTTTTTTAAAAATGTAAAAAAAAATACATTTTGTAGTTTTCTTTTATTGTAACAGGTATGAGTTTTATGTGTAAAACACCCACTCCAATGAGGTTACACAGCTAGTTTAAAAAAAGAAAAACCGATCTTTTGAGGTTTGAATATTATAAAGACAGACTATATTGGTTTCAATTTTATATTAATGAAGCAAGTGTTGCAACATGACAGTAGCAGTATACTAGCTATGCCTATATGAGTACTCAATAAAGGGGTGTTTCCACTTCAATAAGATCTATGGGTATTATCTTTAGTCAAGCTTAATCTTTAGACAAACTTATGTAATTATAAATAATTTTATTCTGCACTAAATTATTCTGTGCTGGCTATGTATAAAGATAAATATCAATTCCTCATTTTCTTCCTATCCTTTGAACCTATACCAATAAAATCAGACGGAAGATTTTAACACAGAAAATCAATACTGTACCATCTTGGGTTATGCAATCACACAAGCTATAAATTAAGTTTTAGGCAATTTTCTCATCTAAAGTGAATAAATTCTAGTAGTAAATTGATTTTACATTCAATTAATACATCTTAATTTTGGTACTGATTATAGAGGTTCAAAGATAGTTTAAATTCATGCATTATGGGGTTAAACACACACAGACTGAAGAGAACACAAATACATAACTAATATCATTTGCAACATAAAAGGTTTTGGTGAAATCAAAAACTTACCAGAGCCAGCGACTCCTACTGTTGCAGCACCAGCACCAATGAATTTGGCAGCAGAGTCAATGTCCTTTGTGACGGAGGTAGTTTGGAAGGACCTAACTGCTGATAGTTGGGCTGGGACCACTGGTACTACCTGTGTTTGTGAGGGCACTGCAGCAAGTGGCCTCAATAGGGCTGTGTTGTTGAAAAGCTGAAAAAATATAAACCATGCAATTAAACTTCATTGGTACTCTTCCTATTGAACATTAGAACAGGTTACACCCCAAAAATCAATAACCTGATTATTGAAAAATCTGATTTTGTGACATTTAGGAGGCTTATAACTCAACGTTTAATGATCAGCAGAGACAATTGTTACCTAACGTCGAAGCTGAAGATGATTATGTAATTATCTGATACTAAAAAAAAAAACAGAAAATCTGAAATGAAATGCAATAAGTTTCCAATAAGAATGTCAAAACGGTTTAAATACGTAACCTCTAAGCCGGTTTACATTTAATACTGCTATAGTTCAGTAAGGGTTCATACCTAAGGTTAAGTCACAGAAGCAGTAGAGCAAGTCCCAATAAGCCAAAATTCTCTACTATTTAATATATTGTATCATTTAGAAGAATACTTACAGCAGACCTGGCTGCAGGGGCAATCAATCGGGCGGCGGACAGCATTTTGTGTTTTGATTTAGAGCGGCAGACGACAACTGAAAGAAACCGTACGAGTTGAGTTAGCTATGTACTCGTCACTACTTGATTACCTACTGATAGGGTTACTGCAGTAATGTTCAATGAAGAGAGAATTGACAGTTTGACCGACGACCGCAGCGTTACGTAATTTACGGTGCTACGTAACTAAATAGAGGCCGGGTTAGTGATGTTCTCCGTGAGAAATATACTATGGTGGTATCGTCAGAGACGCGAATTTATGAACCTGCAAAGCGTATTTATCGCTTTGGAATGAATTGGATTTCTACGGAAAATGGCCGAATCAGTGAGCCGACTTCAAATCTACTGACAATTAATTCTTCTGGGACAACTTATAAAATCACAAATAAATATTAGCACTATCACACACTACATGCCTTTGAAGAGAATTACCAGCACTTTAATTATTAGGATGGCTTATAATTTTACCACTTTTCCGCGATTACTTTTCACACAAATTTCTGCCCCGCACTTACCAAAGAATACCGAGAGGAAGGAGACCGGCCTTTGGAATGTTCAATTTCTGAATGGTGAAGTGAAACAGAATATAAATACTGCACAACTATTGGTCGATATAGCTGCCAGTTCCGTTCAGCGCCGCCAACTGTCGATCAATATGCGCGACTGACAGAAATGTTTTGTACTAATTATACAAAAGTGATTAATACAGACGTGTTAAGACTATTGTATAATATAATATATTTTTAAATAATTAATAAAATCTTTTATAGTTTCAAACTGACTGTTCTTATCTCATTAAGTGATATGATAAAACCAGAAACGTGAATGAGCACAGTTATGTACTTGACTAGTGCATTAACATTAATAGCAATGGCGGTGTTCATGATAAACATCTGTAAATATAATGGCTGTGGTATAACTTTTCCCAGATTAAATGATTTGATCGAACACATTGAAGATGTACATATCGGTAAGTGTTTAGAATTTATATGTATATTTGCAGAGTAGTTCTTATTTTGCATATGTAATGTAATCCACGACCCTCCCAATTTACGCCTTATCAATGTCCCAATGTTGTCACCATTGGAGGGTATTTTTGCGTCAATTATAAAATTGTAGAGGTATGTAAATGCAAAAACTTTCGTATTATTATGGTTTTATTTAACTAATTTTTCTACTTTTGCACTTCATCGGTTTGAATTTTGTTTGCATGAGTGCAGTAAATATTTTTAGTGTGTTTGGATTTGGATCATGTGATCAAAAATGCCTCAACAGATGGCCTTTCTACCGGCAATCATAATTTTACGTTATAATTGTCCTTTTTCAGATTTAGATCCAGCAGTAGTGGAGCAAAAAGAAGCGTCTCAGCCAGCATGCATACCGCTGAGTTATGTTTTGAAATTCATTACGGAGGCTTCAAGGCGAGAGAATCAAACTACTGCCCCTGCACCTGATGTTCGCCGCCGTCTTTTGTCTGTGCCGAAAACACCATCAGTTCGCAGCAGCACACCTACCGGTTATTATGTCCTTAATTAGGTATCTTATTGTGTTTGAAGCTACCTACGATGAACATTATTATTTATTATGGAAATTCTAGGGTAGGTTTCCTTCAATCCAATATAAAATGTGTTATATAGAAATATCGAATAATGCTGCAAGAGCTCTAACTATTCTGCAGCCTAGTCGTTTCTGATAAGTTTTACAACTTGACTAAGCACTGCATACTGGGTAGAGTGGGTAGTATTCTAGTTATGGGAATATTTCAAAATGTTGCTATGGTAAAAAGAGAACCTAGTAGGCATTCAAATCCCTTGCGGTATTTTCACAATAACGTTTTTTGGTAAAGTCCAGAGACTAATTCTATAAGGAGATTTGAGTTTGTGTTCTCCTGTTTGCTTATGTTAATTACTAATGGTAATTACGCATTATTTGTTCGATTTAATGTCCTTAAGTTATGAAGAGCTGTCTTATCGTGTTTTTAAGCCTGACTTTACCGACTTTAAAATTGTCCGCTGTAAATGCCATGATAAGGAACCAACATGCACTGCTGAGCCTAAAATAAAATACATTGACTGCGTTCATTTACGTATATTTGTTTATTTATCTTTATTCGTTCACTGCGACAAAGAGGGATACCGTGTCTTGTCGAGATTCTGTTACGACATGGCACCCAGAAGTTTTGGTTAACAAAGCGTTGAGTTTAATAAAGTTTTGAAATCTTCTTACATACTTACTGAATGAACAATAATCTCAATGTCTAATATTCGTGATTTGTATGTGTGTTGTGTATCGTTCTTTGTATGTCGTGAGTGTGTGTTTACAAGTTACAACAAACGAACATTTTGTTGTATGCTCGGTACCAAAGTAAAATAATGTAAAAGTATTTTATATTTAAAAATTAAAACTGTTTGATGTTGTACTGCTTCTCCGTATTGTTTCGCTGTAGATAGTGGCTATATTATTTAAATAATTCGGTGTCCCGAGAATATGTATTGTGTTATGCACACATTTGAGTTCCGGCCTTAAGTACAATACTTTAGTATATTCACATAATCATATTATATATTCCTTACTTAAAAAGGGACTATAAGGGACGCACTAAGAATATATCAGGATATATTCCTAGTGCGTCCCTTAGGACATACGTGTCGCGGGGGCCTTTGAAACATACATGAAACGGACACAAAGAACACCCAGACTCAGAACGACAATTTGTGGATCACACAAAGTGTCGTCCCATGTGGGGATCGGACCCACAACACTCAGCGCACTAGGAAACGGCGTGACGACTGCTTAAACCACTACGCCATCCGAGCACTCATATTATTTGTGACTTGCATTTTGGACAGAATTTGTAAGCGTCTGTTATAGAGCAAAGAAAAACAAAGCCTTTTTGCTCATTAGTTAACAGCAGGTGCATCTTGTTTCTAAGAAGGGTTAGGATTCTCGAAATAACATCACGGCATTTACATTTTTTTAACTTGTTTATAGGAAGCGAGATGGATGAAGACGAGATGCTCAGTCCTTCGGAAGACAGTAACGATTCCTGGACTACGGCAGAAGAATACAGTTCGGAGTTCATCTTGCGTTACGGTGTCAAGTAAGACAGCAGTTTTTTATATACTGCAGAATATTTACTTAGAATAATTAGTTTAGTCTAATAAGATATTGGTGGTTATTTTTTTCCGTTATAAAACTCTCAAAACTGAACTTTAAAAACTTACATATAGTTTGTGTCTGTCAAAGATGTAGAACAAAATCTATAAAATACCTAAATATATTATATGGTATGTTTAGTTGTATTCGCTCTGAATCCAATCGTAGTCTGCTGTGTGTTACACAATAAAGCCCTGCTGTGATTTGAAAAAAGTTCTAACAATAGAAAAAGCCATAAACAAATCCAATGTTACAGAGCGTACGACGGCTCTAGATATTTTTCCTCCTAACAGATGAATTGAGCTTAGACTGGTGTGGTTGTCAAGAATTTTAAACATTGCAGAATGAATGCAAGTGCGTCATCTGGAGCATTAGGACTGGCCGCGCAGGAGAAGCCGTTTGCTTGTCCAGTACCTGGCTGCAAGAAACGCTACAAAAACGTCAACGGCATCAAGTATCACTCCAAGAACGGACACAAGAAGGATGGCAAGTTAGTATTTTCCGTTACCTGAGATTGTGTAACTATTATTTAAGTAATTTAGGTTTATTTTATAATATGTACAAATAATTATTGATGTGAGAAAAAAAGTATTGCAACCCTAATCTGCTCACGTGGAGACGATGCATCAGTGCTATGACTCATTGTGACATTACTTAGTGATGGTCATATAGTAATATCTTGTCTAATCATTGTCTTGTCCCTAAGCCACACATACATATATGTTCAAGAACAAATATAAATCATTGACATTTTGCGTTAGCTGCTGTTTGTTATATGAAATCTTTCACCAGACAGTTTATTACATTACCTATATAAATTGCATTTGTTTAAATTGACACTAAAAATGTTGCAGGTACTAAATATTTACCATGTATTGTTTCTTTAACATTTACGTTAAATTCTGTGTCTACATTCGTGACGTTGATACGTGTATATGTGTTATTATGTATGTAATGATCGGCTGCAACAGAAAACAATACAGAGTGATCTAGAGTACGTTGTAATGTTTGAAATGAAGTAGATGTACTGACTGAACGCATGGACGACGTCGTTGTAAACGATTAATAACCTTTAATAATACCGGTGGACCTTAATAAGAACTTCCTCCAATAGAAAATATCCGATGCTGGCGACGCCTGACCAGTACAATAAAAAGTATATCACTGGACCCAAGAAACGTCTTACTGCTCAGGAATATTTTTGGAAGAAATGGGTACTAACTTATTTCAATGCATTTCCGAATTCCTTTATAAGACCTAGATAATATTTATTTTCTAGTAAAAGGTTGTAATTAAAAAGTAAGAACCACGTAAACATTTATTAGATATTTGTGCGCTAGAAACTAAATGTTGTGCAATAGATGTAGACGGTAATATCATTAAATTTAATTCAGCATTTCATCATTTGCTGTCGTATTCTAAATATTATCATCGTGTAGGTAAACATTTCAAAAATTAAAACACAAAATAATCATGGTTAAATATTTATTTCAGGGTAAAAAAGGCCTACAAATGCCAATGCGGCAAAAGCTACAAAACGGCGCAAGGGCTTAAGAGCCATTCGATCTCGCAGCACATCGCCGCAAGCTCGCCATCGACTTCCGACCACAAGCTTCACCTGCCGAAGATGCCCGGGCTCGTAGTCACCAGCTCGCCAGCTCAGCGCACCATCAACCTCATCGACGCCGTCGACGGTAACAAATTAGTCCGTATCTACGATACCATCAAGACCAAGGACCTCCCGGCGTTCACCATCCCGAAACACAATCTTACCAGTCTGAACATCGTGAGCGCGAGTCAGGCGCGCGTGGCGCATCCGGGGCTCCTGACCCCGAGCTCCACGCCGGGCTCGAGCCCCGTCGACAAGATAAAGTTGGAGCGGTCCCCCAAGGTGACCGTCCAGACTGCACAACAACTCCCACATCTCACCAACATATACGGGAGTGAGGTTAACAACTAATCGTCACAACGACGACCTAACTGAACGAATTTAAAGTCACTAGTATAGTCTAACATGCAGTTCCTACAAAAACAAAAAAAAATATCGTTCATTTTCATTAGATTTATTTATTTTAGACGGTATATCACAGTTAGTATTTTACAATCGAGCTTGTACGTGCTTTTTATTTATCGTATATTTTGCACAAACGATTCACATCGCACCTTTATTTAATGAGGTAACTGTTTCTCAGAGATTGGAGATTTGTTTTTTTTTGTTTGAGATTTTTATGTTGATTAGTTTGTACGTCTAAGTTATTGAAGCTATATTTATTTTACTTATTTAAATGTTAATTGCATGATTTAGCAACGTTAATTTTATTTAACTACGGAAATTTGTTAATATTTTATCGTTTTATTATTGAATGAACTTAAACAAACCTAAATTCACAACAAGCACGTTTTTGGATGAGGTTATCCAATTTGTATTCAAGTGCTGTGAATATAACAATTGCCACCTTATATTTACAAAGTGGAACGCTGTGTTTTGTATTTAACCTGCTTCATAAAAGGCCAGGATGTTTTACAAAGCTTGGGGTTATGTCAAACCCTAATTCGCAAAACGTTTAGGGATGTACGTCAGTCATAATAATTATGACAGTTAGTAATCATGACATTATGACATTCATAACAATTAGGTATTGTTGGAGTCGACCACTACCTACCGTTCTTTCGTGCAGCGTAAACTGTGCTAGCTTTAGTGTGTGTGTGTCAAACGGCGTGAAATTTTGATCGTCCTAATATAGTGGCTTTCTCAATGTTACAATGGATATAAAAAAATGTAGGTAATAAAGTGCAAACAAAAACCGTTATTTTATCAGATAGTTTTACATATAATATCGTTATTTTGATAATATACATTAAAATTTAAAATGGTGATTCTAGGTTTGCGTTCGTACGTTTGTTCAAACGGCCACGTTTACTACACGATTTTGGGTGCCGCTTGTAGATTTGTAAACCCCCGGAATCATCATACACGAGGTGTCTAAAAAGTATAAAATAAATTATATGTTTGTAAAAATGCTAAACTGGATTTTATTTTAACGACATTGCACTGTTGCCGGACGATTAGAATTTCATGCACACTTATGTCTAAATGTTAAAATGCACTTTAACTAAACGTTTCTGTGTAGTCAGGCCCCTGGTTTTTATATATGTATATGTCATCCCCATTGATTATATTTAAATTTTCTGTGATCTCTGTGCGTGAACATTTTAATAGATGTATTCGATGTCTTCATGCGTTCATTGTGGATATTGCAACCGTTCGTTTGTATCTCTTCGTGCCATTGATTCTAACATACGTGTACTTAATCGTATAATTCACGCAAAACGCTTTATGTTCAATTTATGTCTAGTAAGTTTTCACAATGTTAGATTTTATATTTAAGAAAAACGATAAAAACAGCGATCACCTAAGTATCGTATAGAATAAAATAATGATATATACTCGTAAATGTGATATTTGAAAAAGTCAAAAAAAAAAATGCTAAGCAACTTTTATTTAGATAGTTTGTAAGGCTTCAGTTTAGATTGTAACGTTTAAACATGTCAGAGCAAAAGGTTTTTTGTAATACTAATATGCATATATGATTACTAAGTTCTTCCTGCATGTTTATATTTGTATTTCTCCAAACGCATATTATTAATACTTATATCATATTATATTACGTGCTACGTTCAGATACACTGCATTTCATCTTGTATTTCAGTTTTGAAAAATATTGTAAGGGACAGACTGAAACTAAAAAACTAAATCATTCGATTGTGGTGTATAAGTGTAGAGGAAATAATCTACACAATGTTTGGGACTTGAATGTAGCTTAATTTTGTCACAGTGAAACATTTTGTTTCAAGAATGAGCTTATCATTATATAGTGAGCTACAACCGCGTATGTCACGAAACATGTGCCACTTATTACTAATCACATTGTAAAACTAAATCGTTTGACAAATATTAATAGGTGATATTAAAAATACATAGCTATTTTAACAATTTTTTAAACTGAAGGTATAATTGAGGTGAAATGCTTTAATAAACATAAGCTGTTCCCATAAATAGATTTATAAATATTATATGTCCGCACGAGAAACTTTCTCATGGACAACTGTCTATGACGTACGTTGTTGTAGCGAACATTTTTAAGACATTTAGTTAGGAACTAAAATATTCTCACAAAATAGGTAGATATTTGGTATACAAAAAAATGAATTTTCGGTATTGTTAGAAAGGATCGGTGCTAAAAAGTGAGAATGGCACACAGATAGACTGCGGAATAAAGTAGGTATATGTATAACGAATGTTCCAAAGGCGAAATTATGTGTAAAGATAGATCACCACGGTGCTTAACGGGTAAAAGTGTGATATTTGAGTATAAAAGTATGATATAGTAAGACTACCAAAGAAAAATGACATATTCAGGTCTATCAAAGTGGTTCACTGGTGTTCCTGGCGGTACTCATAATGGCACCTATCAATCTTATAGCCTGCCCTTTGGTAAGGTATCGTTTTAGTGTATTTACACTTGCACTTTGGGTTTCTTTGTTAATATATTTTTTCAGAAATCAAGTTTTCCAAATAACTGATTGCTTATTAGGGGCCCCGTCCCTTTTTAAAAATCAAAATAGAACTAAAGCGATTGTCTGCTGAGTTTTTCTAACAGTTATAGTCAATTTAAAATTTCCTCGTGAATTGGTTCGTACTTAATGAAAAAGGGTTAAATTGCGTTTCTGTATGGTACTATACTAACGCGATGCTTCCATCACTTGCAAAATATTGTAATTAATGACTGTTGAATTTGCTTTAATTCCACATGTCATTATAAGATATGTAAAACGTATAAAAAAAGAGGAGTAGAATTCTCGAAGTGCTTTATATCGAAATAAATAAAATAAATGTTTTTCAAATTCGACTAACGTCTAAAAACTTTAGCTTTGAAAGTATCCTTTCATATAAAAATCCGTCCGCTTGATTTGACGCTAAAAAAAGATTGGACCCATGTTTGTTAACCCGTATCATTTTTAGTTCCATTAATTTTTATCTTTAGAATATTTAATCGAATAGAGAACCATATTAAAACTCGTAATGTATGACTGTCCGTGCACCATTACCATTTAGTGTAAGGCTAATATACGCTGGCTTTGTAGCAATTAGCTTTGTTTGAATAATGCAATGTGTCTAACGATCAAACAGCCGTTCGGTTATATCGCGAGCGGCCCACGTTTGGTAGATCTAGACATTAAAATTGTGTGTTTATCGAATAAGCTGCTCATTTTATTGTAATTTCGTTTTGTTCATAGTTTAATTGAACATCTTTAGTCATGTTTAATTTAAGACTGAGTTGGTTTATAGGTTTATCTCCCTTATTTATTTTCTGTGCAATGAAAGACGTTTTATATTGTAAAGGTACTTTGTGTTTTTAAAATTGAAATATTATCGATTCGGGGTGCAATTCTTGGTTTCTCTACGATATATTCTTCACGAATTGCATCTACGAGTTATATGGTGTTATAAATGTCAGCACATACTTTTGTAAACAAAACAGAGACATTAAATGCTTCTAAACTAAAATTTCTTTAACCCTCAGTTACTGTGTCGGTAGGTACATAACGGAATTTAAGATTTTCATTTAAGGGTAAAATGTTCACTAACAAAGAAAAGAGAATTTTATGGTATATTTTTAACTTACATACCTTTTTCATACTATTGATATAATTTTATTAAATTAAAAATATGAATAGATTTGACAGTTTAAGAAATATTGTTAATGTAATAACGTTTACTTTTTGAGGGTTAAAGACAGTAAGCTGTTCCGTAATAGTTTTATAGAAAAAGTCGATTATCATCATTTCAATGCGTGGCGTCAATTAATAGAAACGACCAATTTTGACATTGTTGTTTAGATTGGATACAAAGTTGAAAGTTTTTATAAAATAATATTTGTAATCTTTTCACAAAATGTGTGTTGTTTATATCCATTGCAAATAGTGTTTTATGGCTCAAAACTTAAATCTCATGATCCCGATGTAGCGGATCTAATGACGGTTGTGAATAAGTATGTACGAGTATGTATGTATGTATGCTCATATGATTATTTTGAGATGTGCTGACAGAACTAATAATGGCAACTAAGTCTTGTGTTGGTTCACATGCTAAATGTATGCATATAATCATATCGTTGTGTTATAGACATTGAATGAGCTAAGTCCATGTTATGATATAAGTTTACCGCCTCACATTTAATCATTCTGACCACATCCACCCTTCGAACTTAATACAATTAACATGCCAAATAATTTATCTTAAATATATCGTACATATTTTAAAGACATAAATATTGTATGTATAATTAATAATTACATATGTAGACGTTTCTACCAATGTAGGTACGTACGCATTCAAAGTGCGTACTTGAGTACTTTGAACTGCCTGTCGCTTCAACCATGTGTTTGTAACTTATTTGAGAACGAAGGAGTAGAGTATATAATTGTATGTCATTTATAGGGAGAGTTTAAGGTTACTAAAGTGTGTATAGCTGTTAGTTTTGTCTAAAAAGAGCGAATTGGACACGAATTTGCATGGGATGTTTATTTAAAAACGTGATGTTAACGTAACGTAGTTGTCGTATATGTAAGCTTTTTTTTTACGTTACTATTGTCTACTTTATTACGATGAACAAGTGAGTAAAAATGCAAGATAAAACATTGAAATAAAATTATTACTGTACCCGCGAAACGCATTGTACTCCTATTGAATACTTATAAATGTTAGGTACAGATAGACTATAGGTAGGGTAGCGCAGTAAAGTAATTATTTTACCTTTTTTTTGTTCTCACCTGAATAAAAAAGGAAATTATAAAAAGATTTAACCATTTTACAACTCGGAATAATAGTTTGAATTCATTATTTCGGTTTTCGGTACACCGTGCGATTACACTGCATTTTCATAATGTCAGGATACGAGAAGAGACTTTTTTAACTTGAATTTTTACTAATTTTATTCGCATCCAATTGGCTCTTGTGATAATCGTCGAAATATCCAAAGATATTGTATACTAGCTAACAAAAAAACGAGAAAAAAGTTTTTAACTATCTGGAGATTATCAAATAGGGTTTCTTTATGTATTGTGAAGATTTGTTAAGATTTTGTTGTTATGAATATTTTGCAATTTTAGGTTAAAAAGCCTTTAATGTTTTGTTTTTACAATTTGCACTACCCCACTTTTACAAACTTGAGAAAACGTTTCACTCCTAGAAATAGGTTATAAAAGAGAAGGTCATATAATTGCATTGACTCTGTAGTTACTCTATAAATTTTATTTTTGAAGGACCACTTATTGCCAAGTCTTGTACTTATGTGTGCTTCTTCTACTTAAAGATACATGTATTATGACGTATTAAAAGTATTTTGTATAATTCGACTTGATGTCAGTACATAAATTTAAACAATGTGTCGATTTATAGGATGTACGTGCAATTTTAATGGCCTACATTCATGATTATAGTTTCCATTTAACAAATAAACGCAATCCACAACATTTCTATATTGTTTTATTTAAAACGTGTTCTTTTACCATGTTCAGAAGAAAAATATGTTCTACGAGTATAGTACCTATTCGTTTTTTATTGGTTAAAACAGCGAAAATTTAAACAAAAAAAGGAAATATAAGTTTAAAAAAATGGAAAGCATCCCTGAAATGAAGTGTTTCTACAAGGAATATTTCGAATTTTTTGTCAGGTGTTTTAACACTGGTTATGTTGGTACTTTTCATTTTTAAAATTTTATGTACCTATTCTAATAGGTGCGATGTCTACATAAGACAGCACTCTAGAAGCCCTTTCTAGTCTCTAGGATAAAATGAAATAACGTAATTTAACCATATAATTTGACAGATTATACCCTTTGATAATAATATTCACACAGGAGAATAAATTGAAAGAAAAATAATGAATACATGTCTCGTTTATATTTATTTCACTTATCGGTATCGATAATAAACAATAGTGAAAAGCAAACGAGTTTATAGTGATTCCAGGACAATGTGAAATATCTTATGTAATAAGTACAATAATAGTACATATTAGCCTAATATGTGAGAATTAGTTATATATTAGACTATATAGAATATAATAGAACATATTTAAATTGTTGAAATAGTTCCTTGGTTCTTTAACCTCTGCGTGCCACTACACTGATCAGCGCTCACCGTTGAAAGCATTCTACAGTGTAGCGGCATTTCACGCTTTTCGCAGCTTATGAGATGTTACGCTACCAAACGCAACTACTTACACTAACGCAGGATGTCTTTTATTTTTGGAACCTATAATTTGGTCCTATGCATAATACAGAGTGCATAAAGTCTCACAGCACATACAGGTTTGGTACAATTCAAGTAACATATTATGTCACATGAGTTGTTATGAAATGTCTCGTTCTTAGTAGCCTTTTATTAATATTCGTCTTAATTCAGACACTGTTTTTCAAATAGTATAAATGTACTTTCACTCACTCGATTACAACGTACAACTTTATTTATTTAAAAATAAAATCGGACAGACATTACATATTATAGGCAAAAATCTCTATAAATTAGATATTTTCGAGGCGATAAACCCGGTTCACATTAAAATTCCAGGTCATTTCCTAGTGTTAAATTGTTCTACAAGGCTAGCTATCTTCGCGTGTTTGGTGATCTCTATCAACGGACATTTCTTTTGTACAAAGAGAAGTCCGCTTTCGTCTTTCTGTTCAAATGCCACCTCTGCTGCTTCTTCGTAGAAACTGAAACGAGAAAAATTGTTTTAAAAAGGCCGGGTCTGTCAATTAATGTACTTATATTCTACCGCTTCTAATTTTTAAGATAATAATTATTAAAAAAAAATCCTCGATCATCCACAGCCTTTAATAGTCCACTGTTGGACATAGGCCTCTCCTTTGAAATAAGGTTTTGGCCTACCATACAACGCTGGCGAGACGGGGCTATATAGGGTTTGTTTCAAGTTTTCCATCTCTTTGCAGTGCTGTTGTCCTGCGTAATTTGCTCTCTTAGTCGGCTCTTACGACGCCCACGGGATGAATAGGGGTTGTGACACTCCGTATTCCGTATTCGTAATCCGTCACCACACGGATGAAAATAGAAAAAATATTTAGCTATTACGGATCTCATAAAAGCGCAACTGCATCGCATCTGCATTTATTTTAACATTGAACGGTACATTTTTAAACTGTTTATACCGAGTTTGTAAGATTTTAACTTACCCAGCTTTTACATAATACATGACTTTGAGCTCATCCCTGCACCTCGGCAAGTATTTAAGTGCTTCGTCGTTCTTGCCATACTTAATACAGGCATCCACGAATGGTTCGTAGCCGACGGGTGATTTTTTCGATTTAGAGAACTTATCTAGTTCTGCCCATTCGTCCTGTTCAGCCAACTTTAATATACGAAGCCACCAATATCTGTAACAATAGATAGGATCTTGTTCATAAACGTTTATTGGACATACTATATCATTATTCTATTATAACTTCATTTTGTTAATTGTATGAAACGATATGGTGTATTTTTTTACTTAAAACACTACATAGGCGTTTTAAACTAGGCAGAGCTAATAGTTATCAGATTGCTAATAAATATATTTATGTATTACTAAAAACTTATATGATAGTGACAGATTAAATCGAGAGACAGAACAATTTGATTATTCTCATCGTACAGTCACTTGTCCTGGATTAGAATCGAACCATCGATCTTCTGGCACAGCAGTTGGGATTACTATACACTAGCCCAATAGTAGGCTTATTAAATTGACTTCGACTCTCTCTCGGTAGTAAGAGTGACTGGTATGCGGCTTACAAATGACCCACTGTCAGAATAACTCAGTAATTTGAATCGATAACTCTAATAACTGATACTTCTGTGAAAATATCAAGAACTACGCAGGACATTAGCACTGCAAAGAGAAGGAAAACTTGACACAAACCCTATATCAACCCTTCTGGCCAGCGTGGTATGGTAGATTAAAACCCCCTTTCTAAGGAGAGGCCTATGTTCAGCAGTGGACTTTTAAAAGCTATTGATGATGACAGCTTATCAAAAATTAATATCATGGGCAGAAAATATTAAATGTGTTACCTTCTGTCGGGCATCTTATACTCGGCACGCAATTTGTCTGCCAGTTTAACTTCGCCCTGGTCCAGCAGTAGTTCGACAGTGTCGTGCAGTGACTTGCCAACAAATCTAGAGCCGTACTTGTCCTGGAGTGACGATTGTTGCTTACACAACTTGCGAGCGTCCTCACATATTGACACACCTAAACAAAGAGTTTTTAGTAAGAAAATATTAGTTTTTCATAAAATCAATTATAAAATGAAAGATGTGTAGCATTAGGGCATTGCAGCAAATTTAAAAAGTGTCTCAATTGGATTTTATAATTCTAATAAACTACTTAAAAATACAGTTCTTTCAATCGACGATTGCCATAAAATACTTTTAAATTTTACATTTTCATATTTAGCGATATATTTCATATTTCATAATTTGACGAAAATGTTTGAAGAGTGGAACACCATATTGCTCTGTGGGATCAGTTGGCTGTGTACACAAATGCGATCAGTTGACACTGACTCTTTATATTTTATACAGCCGTATGACGTAATAATGGTGGCTACTATTTCATGGTGTTAAAAAATAAATAAGAAAAACCGAAATCTTTAAATTTAATTTTAAAATTTGTTTTGTTTTTTATGAACTATAAATAAAAAATTCCTACTTGTTTTATGTCTAAGCTATCATAATAAAATATTTTTAGATTTTTTCTTAAATCGAATAAAATATCATATTGGTATTGTTTTAAAATTTGCCATTTTTGGATTAGCATAATAAGCCACTCGATTTTTGAGTTGTATCTGTATTGCATCAAATACGTTTGAGGTATGTAGGCAACATTGTGCCCTTACCTAAATCATTTTTCCCCTTCTTGTAACACTCCCTGGCGGATATAAGAGACGCTTCAATGCTGCCCGGATTGGTCTGTTCTATGGCGTCACGGATGTGGGTCGCGGCTTGACCTTGGAAATCGTCCTCTTGTACGTAAACTTGACGCAAAGTTTCACGGTTGTGTAAAGCGCAGTATTTGATGTACAAAGCGTGTGCCAGAGTGAACCCGCGGATTGTAAGCTGGAATGAGAAGACAGTGTGGGATGATACAAGTAACAAAACTTTAAATAATCGGTGACATTACCGGAATAATGTATTAAAAAACAGGATATTCTTAAAGCATATGGATACATTGTTCTCTATTTTATTTTTAAGTGGGATGAATCTGGCTCCTAAGAACGCTAGTGTTTATTAGTGAGCATCTCCTTCTTGCAGGTTTAACCGTTTTTCTTTTTAATCATTTTTTTTATTTTAATATCTTGCTAATTTATTATAAATTAAAATTCCTTCCTTTAATCGAGGCAATTTTTCACCTTTGTAAACTACAGACAGCACATAAACCTGCTTGGGTATCATGAAGTTCAGTATTTTTCTACATATAGTCGCGCATAATTTATCGTGCTGTTATTATAATCGTTTAAATATTTCAAATTGACCATAAAGTAATAAAGCAGATATACGAACGAAATGGATCATTTGTGTGATTTCTTTTCTGGGAACCGATAACCATTTAATGAATCGATATTATGATTTTATCTTTTCTTGAATTACTTACTTCAAATTCTCGTTTGCCCATTTTTTCCTTTAAATGTAGCAGTACTATATAAACTAAATCAGTATCACCGCTCGCAGTCGCTTTCAACAGAGCTGTTGGACCCTCTCCCAATGATAGAAGTAAAGGAACTTGTAATTTACTGTGAGTTTCGTATTCTAAGATCTGTAAATAAAGAATATGCGTGTAGGAACTAAATATTATATTTTCAGATGGTAACAAATATTAGTATTAAGTAGAACAATTTCTAACTTGAATTATTGTTATGGCGATTAACGGTGTGTACTTAATTCGTGTTCTTGACATGAATTAACTTAACTAAGTATTCATAAAATATTTGGTAATTTTTTTTTTGCTACCGCTATTAATCGAAACATTCTAAGCCTGAAGACATTCCAACGTATAAAATATCTTCAAAAGTTTGACAGTGAATTAATAATTAACAGCTATTTGTGAACTTTTTAAATAACGTATAATAATCTATTCTAATCTATTGCAATTATTTTTCTCTTACTTATCCCAAACTAGCGGTACCCTGCTACGCTTCATTGTGGCACATTGTGCTTGTATTTATGTGCAATGAGGAACAAAACTGACGCGAAAAATAGATAAAACCCATCTTTGAACGGGGTTGTGTACTATGTAAAAATTTAAGCTGTATCGGTGCAGTACTTTTTGAGTTTTTGAAGTGTACACAAACGCGCGGGGGACTTTACAAACATACATGAAACGGACACAAAAAACACCCAGACTTAGAACAATAATTTGTGGATCACACAAAGTGGTGGTGGGGATTGAACCCTCAAGACTCAGCATAGTAGGAAGCGACGTGGCTACCACTTAAACCACTACATTATCCGTGTAGTCAGTAGATTTTTTTTCTTTTCTTTTTATATTAGCTGTCATACTTACTTTAATAGCGAGTGCTTTCCTGCCTTTGTCGGCGGCTTTCATCGCTATTGTAGTGTACGAAATGCCGGGCACGTTGCTCAGTTTTTCACCTATTTCGCGAGCCGCACTCTCATTATCCAGATGCGGTTGAGTGACCTATGTAAAAATACTTATTGTTAATTAAAAAGTACATGTTAAATAATGTTGAATTATATCAATTTCAGTACTGGCATTTATTCCCTGTTAAAAATAGTTTATTATTTTTGAACAGGTAAGAAATTGCTATTAAGATCACCAGTGAAATAAATCCGATAGCTTTTTTAGGTATGCTTCCGTTCTGCTATGCTATTAAATAGTTATGAGCTCTCTTTCTACGTCTGGAATGCTGTATATCAATGTAATATGGAGCAGTTCTCTGGATAAGCCGTGTGTGAGATGTGTGAAAATATTATATTATATATTATAAGGCCAACAAACTATCCCAATGAGAGGACGATGAGCACAGCCGATAAAAAGTCAAATTCTTTAATCTCTTTAAATAAATCTAATCTCGGGTATTACATGGTATGCTATAAATATTAAACAATATCGTCTAGAATTCTTAAGAATAAGTTCCCTCGACAACACTTTGTTATGAAAATATCTATATTTATCACTTGCAAGCTAACCTAAAAGAACTGCAGACGAGCCTGTTGGTCTAGTGGTTACTGACCGCAAAACCAGAGGTCGTTTTGTTTTGATTTGGTTTGATTCCCACTCAGGATTAATATTGTGTGATGAGCACAATCATTTGTTCTGTGTGGGTCTAATTTATCTATAATATGTGTGTATTTAGAAGTAAATAATTTATCTATAATATGTTTATCAGCAGTCTGGTTACCATACTACAGGCTCTGCCTAGTTTGGGATCAGACGGCCGTTTGTGGGATGTGTGAAGTTATTATTATTTAAAAAATATTATGAATCGGTCTTATACCTTATAACAAGCCCAGTGTGACAGTACTCTAGTCCTGCCATCTTTAAGTTGTAGATACGAAGCGATGTGTCCAGCTAAGCAGTGTAGCCGCCTCCAGATTAGTCGGTCGAGAAATACGCGTTCGCCCAAGTGCTTTATTCTGATTTCACGGGTTAAGGTATACTTGTGAGTTTTTAACTGTTTATTTCTTTGTATATTTATTTCTATTAATTCTTTTTATGAAAGAAATCTTCTAATCTAAAAGTCTAATCTTGCTACTTGTCTTTAAGTCTGATTAAATGATACCTGTTTCCAATATTTTAAACAGCTTTTGTTTGAAACAGATGAATTTTATATTCATGTTAAACTGTGTTGGGGTGTCAAACTGTTGATGACTTTTGTAAAAAATCTAAAACTGCAAATATAATTATTATTTTCTTATCAAATAGAATATTAACAATATGTAGAATATTAACAGCAAACGAAATACCTAGTAGAATTGACATGTGTGTGTTATTGCCGTTAGTATATTATTATAAGTTTACATGTGTGTGAATTGTAAATGACTCGTTTCTTTACTCACACATTTGTTAACAATACAGTTATAGAAAGAATGAACCGAATCTATGTAAAAAAAATCTTCTTTTTTTCTTTCATAGCAATAATCTAATTTTGAAATATCTCCGTGTGGTAATGGATTAAGAATACAGAGTGTCACCACCCCTATTCATCCCGTGTGTGTGTAAGAGCCGACTAAGAGAGCAACAGCACTGCAAAGAGAAGGAATACTTGAAACAAACCCTTTTTTTTTTTTTTTTATAACGTGTGGAAATCCCCTCGGACCGTCACCCCACCGGGGTTTGCGGCGGGGTGGTGTGTCGGACTCGGACCGACTAAAACCACACGGTGTGCCACTCTGCGCCTGTAATAGGAGGGATCCGGGAACTGCTGTTGTTAAGACATCCGGACCCCTCCTAGCGCCGGCCCGCTCCAGTTGCGGGCTCCGTCTCAAAATTTTCCTCTCTTTTCTCCGGCACACGCGGACGCCACCCCCTCGCGGCTGGCCAAACTAATGCGGGTGGAGGGGAAACCCACCCCGTCCACCCGCGGCCACACTCAGGGCGGCATGAGGCGGTGATAGGCGGGCCTCCGCCGCCCGGTTCGCCGGCGGCGGATCGGGTCCGAGTGGAGGTCGTCCTCCCGGGCCTTCTCCGCCGCCTCCTTCTGCGAGATTACTTCCTCGCAGAAGGTTGCAACCGCGGTAAAACAACTGTCGCTACCGGCCATGGAGCGTAACTTGAAACAAACCCTATACCAACCCGTCTTGCCAGCGTGGTACGTGGAGGTCAAAACCTCCTTTCTAAGGAGAGGCTTATGTCCAGTAGTGGACTATTATAGGCTGTTGATGAATTTTGAAAAGGATACTGGTCAGAAGTTAGCGGTATAGCTACTTTTGGATCACGAACCGCATTTAACACTCTTAGCCACCTGCAGGTCTTCACATAGAGGTCTGTTAACTCCGGGTCCATTAAAAAACACTTGCCGAATTGAGCGGCTCGTATCAGAGTCTTTTGGACCTCTGGGTTAAATTCAAAGGAAGCCGCTTCGATACAATTTTGGACAGCAATCGGTAGGTCTGGCTTCACTAGTCGTATATATTCGTCGGCTTTGTGGCTGCGTTTCTGTAAACAATAAAGATACGTAGTTATAATGGATAGGTAAAATATTTTTAGTAAAAATAAAAATATTTCTAGAAAACTAATGGCGTACTTAAATAATTAAAAGCAAATATTTTTGTGTTAAAATATTAATGTTGTCATATTATCTAAACATAAAATTTAACACTGTAATCGCCAACGTCCATACCATGTTGAATACACCGGTTCTCGTCCGATCACCGAAGTTAAGCAACATCGGGCGTGGTTAGTACTTGGATGGGTGACCGCCTGGGAATACCACGTGATGTTGGCTTTTTGGTATTTTTGCCACTGCATTATTTTGTATTATTTCGAATTGAATATAATACTAAACTTTAGAGTTAATATTTATTAAAAAACGTATTCCTTGTCATAAAACATAAATTTGTGAGGGACGTTAAGACTTAAAGAATGAGCGCAGCAGTGACTATGAACGTAGCGGAACAGTTGGTATTCTATTTTATTTCCATCAAATCAATCGATGAATGATGAAGTTATATATTAAACAATGTCACGTTCAATTTGACACACAACCTTTTTGTTTCTTCAAATTTAACGGATACGGAATTTACAGGGTCGACAACGCTTTTAAATGTTAACTATTTCATCAGGATACAATATGTGATTTAATAATATGTTATATGCTGTTTACCAATTTTCTGTGAGGCCTTAGTACAACTCGGGTCGAGCCGGGGTCGAAGCATAGCTGTCCCACGGTTAAATTATGTATTAAAATAAAATTAGATATTTCTATACCATTCACAACAACAACTACAAACCTGAAAATGTTTAGAAGCTTCAACCAAATACGAGCCAGCGGCGGAACTGCTGAGTCTAAATATTTTCTCAACGACGGCCGGCACTTTCTGCATCAATTCGTGTGTCATCTCGGACACAACACGTACACAATCCATTTCTTGTATCAAATGGAACGGGCCGTCGTATGGATAAGTGAAGTAGTTGCCTTTTGTGCCATAAATACACATTGTGTCATCCCAGTGAGCTACAACAGCTTCTGATCCACACCTGCAACAAGAAGAACACACATCCTATCATCAACAGCCTATAACAGTCCACCGCTGGACATAGGTCAGTCCTTAGAAAAGAGGTTTTGGCCTACTATACCATGCTGGCCAGACGGGTTGGTATAGGGTTTGTTTCAAATTTTTCTCCCTTAGTCGGCTTTTACGACACCCACGGGATGAATAGGGGCATTCCGTATTCTTAATCCGTCACTACAGGGACGGAAACACCCTATAATCCGCCTTTATGTCACCATTTACAAAATACTTTTTTTGTGTGAATTGTGATTATCCATATTAGTCTGATCTGTGAGGAGGAGGATAATCTCATCAAGTTAAAAGTGACGTGATATCTTGCATAGATGTAAAATGTAAGTCACAATTAAAAATGAAGGAATTGAAATAGCCTTACAAACAATAAAATAACTATTTTGGATGTTTCCTATGTATAATATGTATGTATTTACAAAAAAAAGTTTTATAGGTATTCTATCAGTCAATCTTTCATAGTACAAGCTCTGCTTAGTTTGAAATTAGATGGCGTTGTGTGTCAGATATTCGAAATATTACTATTATTATCTAGGTAAAAAAATATGAAATATTTCTATCCATTTTTATTTATTAAAATTTTATACACTGGGTAAAGGGACAGACTAAATAATTATATACAAGTCATCCAGCAGACAAGACAAAAACAAAAAGAAGTTTAAAAGTATTTGTAACTAAATTAAATTCAGTTAATTAGGTCACCACACGTAAGGATTTTCCAGCTAAAAGTTGTCATAGGAAAATTTAAGAAGAGAAAATTTGACAAAAGCATGAATTAATATACCAACCACATAAGTTCCTTAGGTTGTTTAATGTAACCAGTGTCAACTTCAGAGTAAGGCTTAGCCTTAAATTCAGATGAACCAATCCATAGCATGCCTGAGTCTGTAAAGAAGGCGACATGCTTGCCGTTCTGTGATGATACTATCGACAATATCTGTGTGTATGCGCTTGTGATTTCTGGACGCTGGAAAGATAAATAATAAATAGTATTACCATTCTTCAATCAATTACAATATGTGAAATAGATTGGAAGTCAAAAAAGTTTGCACCATTTTGTAAAAAGATTTCATTTTGAGGTAACTTGTAAGAACAAAATATCAAAAAAGCCAACATCACGTGGTATTCCCAGGCGGTCACCCATCCAAGTACTAACCACGCAAGATGTTGCTTAACTTCGGTGATCGGACGAGAACCGGTGTATTCTTAACATGGTATGGACGTTGGCGAACATTGTAATCAATTTACAGATATAGTGCATCCAGTGTGACGTCAAATATACACTGAACATGAAAAATACGACTAAATTACGTTAAAACACTATTATAATGCTGGTGTATTGAAGATGTTAAAGGATATTTTTCAGATATTCACCATGAGCACAGCTCTGGATTCCCCAAGTTGACACTTGTAGATTTCTTTTTCTCTACACACAAGAAAAGCTGATGCAATAACACACCAACAAGATATTGGTTCATTTGCACCTAGAAAAATGAAAAGTATAAATTTATAAACAATTACTTATTCTTGTAGATTTGTTACTTTAAAATAAAAACTTTCTGATTAAAGAGCAGGAGTGGAAGATTTATATATAAGTATTAACAGTAATATAATCCATCATTTTTTATTTGTATTTTTTTTTAAGTTTGATTTTATTTTGATTTTGTTAAACAATAATTTGAATGGAAATAAAACTAATTTCGGAATTACTATTTTAATTTAATAATAATATTGCAAAATATGTGACGATAAAAAAACATGATATTCGTGTGACTTGATTTGAGGATGGCCCTTTACATACTTATGGGTTTGTTCTAGCTACGATACTGGCCTAGTCTACAACTTATTGTACAATTAAGCTCTGATGAAATACTCACGTGGTAAATCTGGCACTGATCGAACTTTAGGATCTGTTACGTTGCTAACTAGAAACATGCGGTTGGTTGTAGTTATGACTGCTAACCCCACTCCAACAGGGTTTGGGAATAGTACGGCTTTACATACCTAAATGAACAAATGAAGACTATTAATTGTATTGATGATTACAGTCACTCAAGAAAAAAATCAGACTAAGACAAATAAGCATATCGTCTTCTGTAATATTGACAAAAAAAAAACAATGAATACTTTGTTCTAGACTTCTTTATCTAGAGACCATATTCATCATTAGTTAAACAGTAATCAAAATACTCATAATAATAAAATTAAATGTAAAATCTACCTTTAAACAAAGGAATTCTTGTTTATATATAATCTGAATCTCGGAAACGGCTCTAACGATTTTCATGAAACTTAGTATGCAGTTGGGTAGTATGTATATATGCAGTGGTATGGGTTTCGGGGGCGATTAATCGATCTAGCTAGGTTACATTTTTAGAAAATTTATGAAAAAATATATATATATCTATACTAATAAATTATTATTTTTACCTGCATTTGGTGGCAGTAGAGAAACCAAATTTTAACGTTCTTTCAAGCCCTTCTTTATTGTGGAGTATGCAACTTAAACTTTAATTTTATATTTTAATATTATTAAGATATACCTGAAATACAATTCTCTTGATTACCTTAGTATCCCTAACTTCCTGTCCCATGTTAAAAGTCCTCTGGTAGGCGCCAAACATGTCATAGACAAGCACATCCCCACTCTCTTGTACACACAGCAGTTGTTCGCCATCGGACCAGCCCATGTGGACCAGGACACCACTGTTCCACTGGAATTTCAATCATGAAATATGTATTAGTATCTATGATGTGACATTAGGTAATTTCAAAGTGGAAAGAATTAGAGTTGTGTTAAAGTTATTTTTATTATACTATACATTTAATTTTCTCTTAGTGTAAAAATAAAATTGTAGTATCATCACAACATTTATGATTAAAATATGATTAACACGGAAACCCTGTATTCACATTAAACATCACCTGAAAAACATAAAGAATATTTTTGAATTATTTTATTTAGCTCACAGGATTGCAGAATCCAGTATAACAATTTTTAAGTAAATAATGCATAATCAATACTTTTAAAGACATTATGACAAAGTTCTTACCAAGATTTTAGAAATAACATTTCCAACACCATTATAAATGGTAATAACTGGTTTGGCACTCCCCATCACCCGTACAAGTTGTTTCCTGTCCCTCACAACAGCTATGGGACCTCCATATGGTGCTCCACTAACTATCATTGTATCTAGCCCTTCATCCATGGACCATCTCATTGAATAGAGGTCAAACTTCCTGTAATAATTTTAGCAAATTTTATAAACAATCCATATATATATGAACATTGTGTTTGTTTCAAACGTGTCTACAATTCTATACGGATTGAGCTCCAGTTTTGACACGATATATAACCCATATTAAATTGGTATAAATGCTAAAAAGCATATCTTACCAACTAAATATATGATTTAAATTCCATTTACAGTTAGTATTTCATGCTAAAAACTTATAAAATGATTAAAATCAAATATGGTGCTGAGTTTTTGATTGTATGAGTAATACCTCATCAATGTGAATTTTACTATCATACCTGTAATAAGAGTCTAGTTGGAACCAATCTGCAGTTAGTAGCGCCGACATTTTGTTATAATTTATAACAAACTAATTTCTATTAGAGAGTAATGAGTTGATAACGTTCAATAATTGCAGTTTTCCTCCTAAAATATCAACAATTCACTGGTTTGCCCTGCATATTTCTGTAACATCATTTCAATCTAAATCAAAATATCGCAGTGCCCCAAAAGTAAAACAATTGACAATACTTTTTAAATAAATATTATCATTTATTTAGAGTGTATTAGAAATTAACAAGAACGATAACAACATCGTATGTTTCTATAGCTTAGTTTTATGTTTTATCTTGACAGAAGACTTTATTTATAATTTTTCTCCTTTCTTTTTTAAGGAACTGGGATTATGTTATCACTATTATGAAGAAAACAATGCTAGAAGTCTATTACCTACTCAGACTGGAACGCCATTGACAGTCTGTTTTTGACATTTACATCTTATGTTACGTTCAGAAATTTTGTTTTGTAATTTTGTGCGGTATTATTCAATATTTGGTTCATTGTAAACGTAATGTGTTCATGACCATTATAGGGTACATTGTTATAGTTATGTTTTTATTACACGTTCCTCGATTATATTAACAATAACTTTCAAATAATAATATGTTGGTAAGTCGTATTAAATTTCGATCTTAATTACATAAATTACCTACTTCACTATTTTATGTGATCATCATCATTTCAGCCGATCCACTGCTGGCCTCTCCCAAGGTTGGCCACAACAACCGGTCCTGAGCTACTAGCATCCAACGGCTTCCCGCGACCTTCACCAGGATGTCGGACCATCTTGTGGGAAGCCTACCCATAACCACACCGCCGTTTCTTGTACGCGCAGGCCCTTCTCTGACCTATTGCGGGCCTTCAGCACATTAAGATAATGGGATCCCTAAATTTAATGTGATGTGGCCGACCATTTCACGAAATATCGTATGGACAGGTGAAGGAATGATCAGAGTTTGACAAAGTGAATCGATAAAAGAACGATTATTTAGTGAAATTCAGTACGTAATTATATAACCTACACTCAGAAGCACAGATGTCGTATTGTTGTTGTGATACATTCTGTATATAGCTACTTATACACATATGTTACGCACAACGACCAAAAACTATGCTAAGTTAATTCGATTAATGTCAGAAAATGTAAATTCATTTAAGTAAATTATTTATTCTTCTTTTAACGCTTTTTTCTCATGAGAACATGCAACAGATTGATACTTTCAAGCTTTTTAGATGATAGAACAGTGTACATTAAATTGATGTTACATGAAATGTTACTGTTTACATTATAGTAAAAAAGTAAATGGCGTTTTTTTCATAAAAGAAAATATTTGCGGGATCAAAATTAGTAGTTAGTTCAATAATATCGCCTGATAAAAATTATGATGTCACTGGACACGCAAATATATGCACTATAAATACATATTATATAGATTGACAAAAGATCTTACATAAATAAATTGCCAAGGCCACTGTATTTTGTACAAATTAGGCAAGCATGTTACAGCGTCCAGACGACGAGTTAGGTTCCTTTTTTAGTGTTTATGTTGTCTTTCGATCCTTGGTGAATTACTGACTCATATAATTAAAGCTAGTTAGCCTTCTTAAATGTGATCCGCCTAGTAACCCACTTTTGGGAAACTATAGTAAGTACGTCTTAACGCTTATTGCCTCAGAAATTATAAGGTGGGTTATCTTAACATTGTTCTTGAGCCCGCATAGACTTACCGCATAGACACACTGATAGCACCGGTCTCACAACGCCGAATAATGAACTTGTCAGCAACGTGACGTACTCGTAACAAATAGTTAGTGTCTTTACTTTTAGCGCTATTTTAAGTATTAACTTGTTAAAAAAACAACAACTATTACAAACATAACAATCTCAGGTGGTTTTCAAAATCGTATTAGGTTGCAAAAAGACTAGCTACATTTGTGTATTATGCCTTATCCAACCACATCGTCTTAGTTTTCGTTGACCATTGTTTTCGTTGACTGGGGTCATCAAGGCCTCTATACACGGTAATACCATTTTTTCTTGGAAATAGGCTAATGAGATTTAAATTATTATACCATTAAAATATTGTTTTACCTTATTTAGCTGCAAATCAGAAACATATACCTACACTCATGTAGAAGGTAAAATCTTCCTTGTGTTAAATTTTGTTCTCATTCATCCCGTGGGTGTCGTAAGAGACGACTGAGGGAGCAAAAACTACGCAGGATAACAGCACTGCAAAGAGAAGGAAAACTTGACACAAACCCTTGTATAGGGTTACCCGTCTGGCCAGCGTGGTATAGTAGGCTAAAACCTCCTTTCTGAGGAGAGGCCTATGTCCAGCAGTGGACTATTAAAGGCTATTGATGTGATGTGACCAAATTATTTCCGTACCGTTTTTATTTTTTAAATGCACTCAAGGAAAAATATTATGCAAACAGAAAAATATTTATATAAGGAGGCAGTTGATGATTTGACCACTTTAACAGTTGTACCATCCGTAGAGTTGTTATATCTATATTACTAGATATATCTATAGCACGTATGTCTGTCAAAATGAAGTCATCTTCTATATTTTTTTGTTGTTGTTTTGCTTATGTTATTTCCTGTTACAGACATGATAAGTTAGTTCTTAATTGACGGTTCCCCGGATGATTTCGGTTCCGTTGTTATTCGATCGCAAGGTCGACGCACTAGCTGTGTTACGTTTTGTTAGATGAAAGAAAAATAGTTCTGAAAGTTAAAGAGGAAAAGGCCAAAAAGTATTAATAACATAAAGAAAATTAAAAAAGTAGCAGATTATTGCTTCATGAGTCAGATCTGTGGGCAAAAGTAACTATTACCGTTAAAAAAGTTGCAAAATGTTTTTTTTTAGCCTTCTGAATAGACTGACTGAAAAATAGCTGCCTCAAATTCACCAAATAGAAATAGTAATAAATAATGAATTCGCCGCTAGGAAGCTCATAATAAAAGCGATTTTACTGTTCTGTATCCTGTATCTACCTACATATTTGGCATGATAATAATGATACAACATGATGAATGACTCCACTTGCTTTAGTTATTAAGACTACGCGGATCGTTGGTTGAATCCAATTTATTGTTTGGAGTGGCTAATGCTGCTTGATATCTTAGAACTTTTACAAATTATCGTTGTGAACACAAGGCGTAATGTGACATTGCGACGGTAAGAGTTTGTGATAAAACGGTTAGTGGTCTGGTATCAGGTACACATTTGCTCTTCAAACATCATAGCTACCTAAGTTAGTTGTAAGCACCGGTTAGTTCATTTAAAACTAACTATTTATTGAATCCAGTGAGATTGTTTTTATTCTCTTTTTTTTTTAATTCTTTACCCTCGTATAGAAAAACCTCCGATAAGTTTGGGTCGGTCGTGGGCTAGGGCTTGCCTAGGAAACCACCTCGTTAATATGGTAAGTTCGTCATTGGTACTACACAGCTGTCAAATTGAATGCCTGTTTTCTAAAAGAGCCTTTTCGATTGTACAGTGGGCATGCAAGGAATGAAATTTTGTAATATGTGTTGTGCCTATATTCATACACAAAATAACTGTACAAGAATAACTACACAAGTAGAAGGCGTGGAAATTGACGCATTGGAACTCAGCAAATAGCTTGATGAGTTCGCCGCCATTTTCTCACGCCTCGTCTCTTGTCCATCCGTGGACTATTAAGTAGTGGAAGGAATTTGCATCCATAATAAATGAGCCTATCCATCCTTCTCGCACTTTCACGAGGTGTTTGATTGCAGAAGTTTCTTGTACTGTGGTTTATTCTAAAATTTTTAACACCATTACCTAAAGAACTAGCAACCGTTTACTAAAAACACACTTCATAACATTTTTTATCGCTACCTAAGAAGGCTGTGAATGTAATAATTAAGTTGTTAAGGTTTTTTCAATTATAATGAAAGTAGTGAAATTTATTATTAATTTACTTACTAACTGTGGCAAGTTTCATCGAGTCTAATGTATAGGATTATCGAATTTTAGCGTTATACTCGTACTAAAAGTTCTATAGATTTTCATAAAATACGGGTTAACTTAAACAATCATAATTTCTAAATCAAGGTATTTTGACTCACCACTAGATTGGAGCGGATCTGTATGCTGGCTAGGGCCAGATTGCGAGGCACAGCTGACATCTCCGCTTCCATCGCGCCATACAAATATGACACATCTCCGACCGATTGTATCCACTGAAGCTAAGCGGAGAAGAGATGTGTGAATAACGATCTATTGGTTGTATAAAAGACGTCTCTGCTCCACTCGTCTCGTCTCTGCTTTTTTGGAGTCCGGGCCTAATGCTTGTATGTGATACAGCGTGAGTGCTTTGAGCGTGACATAACATGAATGTCATCGTTGCGGGTTCCAAGACAGTTTAATTTCTTCCTGGGACTTCCCGAGTGTCATAACTCGGTGTGTTCGTGGGTCGCTGCTGTGGATCCTGGTGTACAGGAGTTACAGTGGTGGGCGTGTGGGTGGGATTAGTCCCAAAAAAAAAAAGTATAGTCAGGAAGGGTAGATATTTATAACCCAATTTAGTATCTGCATCATTTATACAAAATAGGCATATTTCATTTACTTAATAATTAAACAAAACTAAAAAATAAATTTGAAAAAAAGGCGTAGGGTGCTTTTTACTATTGACAACAGGCACCCTTTTTCAAATTTATTTTCTATTTTTTGGTTTGGTTTTCTATAGAAAGCGTGTTTTTTAGTTTTTTAAAACTATATATATTTTTTTAAATTAGTGTATTGTCATCGGTCCTCGATATATCTACAAAGTTTGAACGAATTCTGACCGTTTAAAGTCAGTCAAAATCACGCCCAAAGGAGTCGGTTACAAACATACAAACAAACATACAAGTGAAGCTAATATAAAGCGTGTAAAAAAGCTTATCGTCAGGGCTTTTGTGGTTAATTTCTACATTTTTTTCTCTTATCTTAGTTTTTATTTCTTGTGCTCAATGATGTGTTCTTCTTTTCAAAG